CTGGGAGACCCCAAACCCCTTGTAGGGACCCCAAGCTCCTGTAGGGACCCCAAATCCCCTGGGGACCCCAACCCCCAAGAACCCCAAGCCCCTGGGGTCCCAGCCTAAGGGCCACCAGGGCCCCCAAACTCCTGTAGGACCCCAATCCCCTAGCGAGACCCAAACTCCCTGTAGGGACCCCAAATCCCCTGGGGAACCCCCAAATACCTAGGGACCCCAAACTCCTATAGGGACCCCAAATCCTGTAGGACCCCAAACCCCCTGGGAACCCCCAAACCCCGGGGAACTCCCAAGGACCCCACCAGGGACCCCCAAATCCCTGTAGGGCCCCAAAACTCCCTGTAGGGACCCCAAACCCCTGGGAACCCCTAAGCTCCCCAAGGACCCCACCAGGGACCCTCAAACCTCATAGGGACTCCCCAAACCCACCTGAGCCCCTAAACTCCCCCTGGACCTCCAACCCCCCCTGGACCCCCAAATCCCCCAGGGTCCCCCAAAATCCCCTGTGCCCCCCAGGCTGTTTCTGCGTGGCCATGGACTCGAGGGTCCGCATCTTCAGCGTGGAGCCCCTCATGGAGAGGGACACCTGGGTGAGGGGCCCGGGGGCTGCTGGGGAGGCCCTCCTGCGGGAGGGTCCTGGGGTAGAGGCGTTTGGGACCCCTGTGGTGTGGGAGAAGGAGGGGAGGTGTTTTGGGGGTCTATAAATGTGTCAGGGGTGGTTTGGGGGTCTTTAGGAGTGTGGGGGTGGTTTGGGAGTCCCTAAAGGGAAGGGGCAGTTTTTGGGGGTCTTTAAGTGTGGGGGGTGTTTTGGGGGTCTCTAAAGGGGTGTTCTGAAGTCTCTAGGGGGGGGTGTTTTGGGGATGTCTAAGTGTGAGGGGGATTTTGGGGGTCTCTAAATGGGAGGTGTTTTGGGGGTCTCTTAAGTTTTGGGGGGTGTTTTGGGGGTCTCTAAAGGAAGGGGTCAGTTTTGGGGGGACTGGTGATGTTTTGGGGGTCTCTAAGTCTGTCAGGGGGTGTTTGGGGGTCTCTAAGAAGGAGGGGGTGTTTTGGGGGTCTCTGAGTGTGTCAGGGGGCTTGTTTTGGGGGTCTCTTAAGTGTCAGGGGTGTTTTGGGGTCCCTAAGGGAATGGGGGCAGTTTTTAGGGGGTCTCTAAGTGTGTGGGGGTGTTTGGGAGGTCTTTAAATGTGAGGGGTTGTTTTGGGGGTCTCTGTAGGGGGTGTTTTGGGGGTCTCTAAGTGGGGGGGTGTTTTGAGGGTCTCTAAAGGGGAGGTTTGGGGTCGTCTGTGTCAGGGGGTCGTTTTGGAGTCTCTCAGGTCAGAGGGTGTTTTGGGGGTCTCTAGTGGGTGGGAGTGTTTTGGGGTCCCTAAAGGGGAAGGGGTCAGTTTTGGGGGGCTGGGGGTGTTTGAGGTCCCCAGGCCTGGGGTGGGGTCAGTTTTGGGGGGTTCAGGGACCACCACAGGCGTGGGAGGGGGCTGGGGGTGTTTTGAGGGTCCCCCTTGGTCTGGGGGTGGTTTTGGGGTCTCCCCACCTTCAAGGGATCCCTAATTTCGGGGGTCCCTAGAGTTGGGGTTCCCCCAGAAATGGAGCAGGTGGGGCTGGGGGGGATCCCTTTGGTTGGGGTCTCCCTCAGTTTTGGGGGTCTCCTTTGGTCTCTGGGTTTGGGATCCTGGGGTTGGAGGTCCTTTTTGGGGTCCTAATTTGGGGGATGGCGGTGCTGGGGGGTTCCCCTGTTTGGGTGTTCCCTTTGAGGTCTTGGGTCTGGGGGGTCCCTTAGAATTTGGGGTCCCCCCAGACATGGAGCAGGTGGGCTCCGTGGGGCTCGTGGAGATGCTGAACCGCTCCAACCTCCTGGCGCTCGTGGGGGGGGGGAGTCACCCCAAATTCCCCGACACCTCAGGTGGGTCCCCAAAACCGGGGGGGGTCCCCAAAATCCCTGAAAGAGCCCCCCAAAAACCAGGGGGGGTCCCCAAATCCATGAGAACCCCCCAAAAACCGGAGGGGGGGGTCCAAATATTCCTGAGAGCTTCCCTGAAATTGGGGGGGGGTCCCGAAATCCCTGAGAGCCCCTCAAAAACTGGGGGGGGTGTCCTCAAATCCCTGAGACGCCCCCAAAAACCAGGGGGGGTTTCCAAATAATCCTGAAATATCCCAAAAATCCCTTGGGAATGCCCCCCCAAAAAACATGAGGGGGTCCCAAAATCCCTGAGAGCCCCCCCTGAAACCATTGGGGAGGTGGTCCCCAATATTGGGGTGTCTCCCTCCTGACCCCCCCAATCCCTGGGGGGGGTTCCCCAAATTTTGGGGGTCCCTCCCTGAGCCCCCAAATCCCTGAGGGGGGTTCCCCAAATCTCAGGGTCCCCTCTGACCCCCCCAATCCCTGGGAGAGGGTTTCCCAAATCTGGGGATCCCTCCCTGAACCCCCAATCCCTGGAGGGGTTCCCCAAATCTGGGGGACCCTCCCCTGATTCCTATGGGGGTCCCCAATCTCAGGGTCTCCCCTGACGCCCCCCAATCCCTGGGGGGGTTCCCCAAATTTTGGGGTCTCCCCTGACCTCCCAATCCCTGGGGGGGTTCCCCAAATTTTGGGGTCCCTCCTGACCCCCCCAATCCCTTGGGGGGGATTCCTCAAATTTTGACCCCCCAATCCCTGGGAGGGGGGGAATCCCCAAATCTGGGGGTGCCCCCCCGATCTCTGAGGGGTTCCCCAAATTTTGGGGGTCCCCCCTGACCCCTCCCCCATCCCCCCCAGTGCTGATCTGGGACGATGCCCGGGAGGGGAAGGACAAACTGGTGCTGGAGTTCAGCTTCCCCAAACCAGTGCTGGCCGTCAGGATGAGGCACGACAGGTACTGGGGGCACTGGGAGCACTGGGAGGCACTGGGAGGGACACTGGGAGCACTGGGAGGCACTGGGAGGGACACTGGGAGCACTGGGAGGGGCACTGGGGACTCTGGGAGGAGACTGGGGGGCACCGGGAGGGGACTGGGAGGGACTGGGGAGGGACTGGGAAGGGCAACTGTGGGCACTGGGAGAGATTGGGAAGCACTGGGAGGGACTGGGAGAGGTGACTGGGAGAACTGGAAGAGACTGGGATAACTGGGAGGGACTGGGAGGGGTAACTGGGAGCACTGGGAGGGTCCCAAACTGGTGCTGGCCCTGCTGGTGCAGCACCACCAGTGGGACTGGGGGGGTTGCTGCTTAAACTGGGGAGACTGGGAGGGAACTGGGGGTGCTGGGGGTCCTCCCCCCAACTTTGGGGGTCCCCAAGGAACCCCCAAGCCCCCCCTGGACCCCCTCAGACCCCCAAAATCCCCCCAGAACCCCCCAAGATCCCCCAACCCCCAGGCTGGTGCTGGCCTTGCACTCATGGTGGGACTGGGGGTTACTGGTTAAACTGGGGACACTGGGAGGGGACTCGGGGTGCTGGGGTCCTCCCCAACTTTGGGGGTCCCCAAGGACTCCCCTGAGCCCCCCTAGGACCCCCCAAAAACCCCCAATCCTCCCCAGGCTGATGCGGGCCCTGCTCACGCAGCACCAGCGGTGGGACTGGGAGGGTTACTGGTTAAACTGGGGACACTGGGAGGGGACTGGGGTGCTGGGGTGCTTCCCCCAATTTTGGGAGCCCCCTGAGCCCCCCACCCCAGGCTGGTGGTGGCCCTGCAGAGCCGCATCTACGTCTTCTCCTTCCCACACCGGCCCACCAAGCTCTTCGAGTTCGACACCCGCGACAACCCCAAAGGTGGGGGGGGACCCCAAAAACGTCCTTTGGGACCCCAAAAACACCCCCAGGGACAAGAAAAACACCCTGGGGACCTCAAAAACACCCTTTGGGACCCCAAAAACACCCCCAGGGACCCCAGAAACACCCCCAGGGACCCCAGAAACACCCCTGGGGACCCCAAAAACACCCTTGGGGACCCCAAAAACACCCTCGGGGACCCCCAAAACACCCCTGGGGACCCCAAAAACACACCTGGGGACACCAAAAACACCCCCAGGGATGCAAAAAACATCCTCGATGGCACCAAAAACCCTCTCAGGGACCCCTAAAACACCCCTGGGGACCCCAAAAACACCCTTGGGGACCCCAAAAACACCCTTGGGGACCCCAAAAACACATAGGGGACCTCAAAAACACCCTTGGGGACCCCAAAAACACCCCCAAGGACAACAAAAACGCTCCCAGGGACCCCAGAAACACCCCTGGGGACCCCAAAAACATCCTCGGGGACCCCAAAAACACCCTTGGGGAAACAAAAACACCCCCAGGGACGCAAAAAACATCCTCGAGGGCATCAAAAATCCTCTCAGGGACCCCCAAAACACCCCTGGGGACCCCAAAAACACCCTTGGGGACCCCGAAAACACCCCAGGGACACCAAAAACACCCCTAAAACCCCCCTGTGGACCCCAAAATCCAGGGGAGGACCCCGAACCCCCCTGGGGAAGATCCCAAAACCCCCCCAGAGTGGATCCCAAAAATCTGAGGGAGCCCCAAAACTGGGCCTGAAATCCTGGGGGGGGGACACCCCAAAAACGGGGACACCCAAGAGGGGGGGGCTGAGAGGGGGCTTTGGGGGGGTTTTTGGGTCCCCCAATTTGAGGGTGTTTTGGGGGTCCCCTCAATGTCTGGGGGTGTTTGGGGGTCCCACCCCCAAAATCCGGCTCAGACCCCCCCTTTCCCCAGGGATCGTGGATCTGTGTCCCAGTTTGGAACGGGCCTTACTGGTGTTCCCGGGACACAAGTGTGGGAGCCTCCAGCTCGTGGTGAGGGACTGGGGGCACTGGGAGGGACTGGGAGGGACTGGGGGCACTGGGAGGGACTGGGTGGGGACTGGGGAAACTGGGGAGGGACTGGGAGGGGACCTGGGAGGGACTGGGAGGGACTGGGGGCACTGGGAGGGGACTGGGAGGTGACTGGGAGAGACTGGGGGGCACTGGGAGGGACTGGGGAGGATCTGGGAGGGACTGAGTGGGACTGGGGGATACTGGGAGGGATGGGTGGGGGACAGGGCAGGGACTGGGAGAGACTGGAGGGGACTGGGGGGGACGGGGAGAGGATGCACGAGGGGCTGGGGTGGTACTGGGGAGCACTGGGGCTGTACTGGGGAGCACTGGGTGTTACTGGGGTTAACTGGGGAACACTTACTGGGTGTTATTGGGGAGCACTGGGTGTTACTGGGGAACACTGGGTGTTACTGGGGTTTACTGGGGAACACTGGGTGTTACTGGGTGTTATTGGGGAGCACTGGGTGGTGTTGGGGAACACTGGGTGTTACTGGGTGGTGTTGGGGAGCACTGGGTGTTACTGGGATATCTCAGCTCCTCACTGGTTGTTACTGGGGTGTCCCAGCCCCTCACTGGCCGTTCACTGGGGGTCCTGGCCATTCACTGGCTGTCCTGGGAGGTTACTGGGGAGCACTGGGGGTTACTGGGGGGTCCTGGTTTTTCACTGGGTGTTCCTGGGTAGCACCGGGTGTTACTGGGAGGTCCCAGCCCCTCACTGGGTGTCACTGGGAGGTCCCAGCCCCTCACTGGGTGTTGCTGGAATGTCCCACCCCTCACTGGGTGTCACTGGGAGGTCCCAGCCCCTCACTGGGTGTTGCTGGAATGTCCCAGCCCCTCACTGGGGATTACTGGGAGGTCCCAGCCCCTCACTGGGTGTTACTGGGAGTATCCCAGCCCCTCACTGGGGATTACTGGGAGGTCCCAGCCCCTCACTGGTTGTTACTGGAATGTCCCACCCCTCACTGGGGGTCACTGGGAGGTCCCAGCCCTTCACTGGGGTCACTGGGAGGTCCCAGCCCCTCACTGGGGGTTACTGGGGAGCACTGGGGGTTACTGGGGAGCACTGGGGGTCACTGGGGGTCACTGGGGTTACTGGGGAGCACTGGGGGTTACTGGGGGTCACTGGGGGTCACTGGGAGTTACTGGGGAGCACTGGGGGCCACTGGGGAGCACTGGGGGTTACTGGGGGTTACTGGGGAGCACTGGGGGTTACTGGGGAGCACTGGGGGTCACTGGGGGTTACTGGGGAGCACTGGGGGTTACTGGGGAGCACTGGGGGATACTGGGGAGCACTGGGGTTACTGGTGTGTCCCCCCTTTCCAGGACCTGGGCTTGGCCAAGCCGGGCACGTCCTCAGCCCCCGTGACCATCAACGCCCACCAGAGCGAGGTGGGGGTGGTGGCCCTGAGCCCCCCCGGCAGCATCGTGGGCTCGGCCTCGCGCAGGGGCACCCTGATCAGGCTCTTCTGCACCCAGAGCCGCGCCCGCCTCCTGGAGCTGAGGAGAGGAACTGACCCTGCCACCCTGTACTGGTGAGACTGGGGACACTGGGACACACTGACACCCTGTACTGGTGAGACTGGGATAGACTGGGATAGACTGGGGGCACTGGGCACCCTGATCAGGCTCTTCTGCACCCAGAGCCGTGCCCGCCTCCTGGAGCTGAGGAGAGGAACTGACCCTGCCACCCTGTACTGGTGAGACTGGGGGCACTGGGACACACTGACACCCTGTACTGGTGAGACTGGGGACACTGGGACACACTGGGGGCACTGGGCACCCTGATCAGGCTCTTCTGCACCCAGAGCCGCGCCCGCCTCCTGGAGCTGAGGAGAGGAACTGACCCTGCCACCCTGTACTGGTGAGACTGGGATAGACTGGGACACACTGACACCCTGTACTGGTGAGACTGGGGACACTGGGATAGACTGGGACACACTGGGGGCACTGGGCACCCTGATCAGGCTCTTCTGCACCCAGAGCCGCGCCCGCCTCCTGGAGCTGAGGAGAGGAACCGACCCTGCCACCCTGTACTGGTGAGACTGGGCAAACTGGGACACACTGACACCCTGTACTGGTGAGACTGGGATAGACTGGGACACACTGACACCCTGTACTGGTGAGACTGGGGGCACTGGGAATGACTGACACCCTGTACTGGTGAGACTGGGCACACTGGGAATGACTAACACCCTGTACTGGTGAGACTGGGATAGACTGGGAATGACTGACACCCTGTACTGGTGAGACTGGGGACACTGGGAATGACTGGGACAGACCCTGCCACCCTGTACTGGTGAGACTGGGGACACTGGGAGGGATTGGGGGCACCGGAACTGACCCTGCCACCCTGTACTGGTGAGACTGGGGGCACTGGGAGGGACTGGGGACGCTGTACTGGTGAGACTGGAGGGACGCAGCAACCTTGTACTGGTGAGACTGGGGGCACTGGGAGGGACTGGGGGCACTGGAACCGACCCTGCCACCCTGGTACTGGTGAGACTGGGGACACTGGAAGGCACTGGAACCCTGCACTGGTGAGACTGGGGGCACTGGGAGGGACTGGAACCCTGCACTGGTGAGACTGGGGGCACTGGGAGGCACTGGGGGCACTGGGCACAGCTGCTGGAGCTCAGGAGGGGCACCGGCCCTGCTGCCCTGTACTGGTGAGACTGGGAAAACTGGGAGGGACTGGAACCCTGTACTGGTGAGACTGGGGGCACTGGAACTCTGTACTGGTGAGACTGGTGGGCACTGGGGGTGTCCCTGATGATTTGGGGCCCCCTCTGAGTGTATTTTGGGGTGTCTGTGCCCCCAGCCTGGCGTTCAGCCCCGACACCACACTGTGCTGGGGGCACTGGGAGGCACTGGGGGGATCTCAGGGTGTCCCTGATGATTTGGGGTGTTTTCCCCCCAGCCTGGCGTTCAACCCCAACTGCTGGGGCTGTGCTGGGGCACTGACCCCACTGGGGTCACTGGGAGGTACTGGGAGGCACTGGGGGTGTCCCTGATGATTTGGGACCCCCCCTGAAGGTGTTTTGGGGTGTTTCCCCCCAACCTGGCGTTCAACCCCGACTGCTGGGGCTGTGCTGGGAGCACTGGGAGGCACTGGGGGGCACTGGGGGGATCTCAGGCTGTCCCTGATGTTTTGGGGTGTCTGTGCCCCCAGCCTGGCGTTCAACCCTGACTGCTGGGGCACCAGCCCCACCACACTGTGCTGGGGGTACTGGGGGGCACTGGGAGGCACTGGGGAGCACTGGGAGGCACTGGGGGTGTCCCTGATGATTTGGGGCCCCCCCTGAGGATGTTTTGGGGTGTTCCCCCCAGCGTGGTGTTCAACCCCAACTGCTGGGGCTGTGCTGGGGCACTGACTCCACTGGGGTCACTGGTGGCACTGGGGGGGGTCTCAGGCTGTCTCTGATGATTTGGGCCCCCCCCGAGTGTATTTTGGGGTGTTCCCCCCAGCCTGGCATTCAGCCCTGACTGCTGGGGCTGTGCTGGGGGCACTGGGTGTGACTGGGGGTTTCCCTGATGATTTGGGGCCCCCCCGAGGGTGTTTTGGGGTGTTCCCCCCAGCCTGGTGTTCAGCCCCAACTGCTGGGGCTGTGCTGGAGTCATTGAGGGCACTGGGAGGCACTGGGAGGCACTGGGGGGGTCTCAGAGCTGTCCCTGATGTTTTGGGGTGTCTGTGCCCCCAGCCTGGCGTTCAACCCTGACTGCTGGGGCACCAACCCCACCACACTGTGCTGGGGGTACTGGGAGGCACTGGGAGGCACTGGGGGGGCTCTCAGGGTGTCCCTGATGTTTTGGGGTGTTTTTCCCCCCAGCCTGGCGTTCAACCCCAACTGCTGGGGCTGTGCTGGGGCACTGGTGGCACTGGGGGCACTGGGAGGTACTGAGAGGCACTGGGGGTGTCCCTGATGATTTGGGGTCCCCCCTGAGTGTATTTTGGGGTGTTTCCCCCCAGCCTGGGCGTTCAGCCCCGACTGCCGTCCCTGATGATTTGGGGTGTTTTTCCCCCAGCCTGGCTGCCCAACCCCAACTGCTGGGGCTGTGCTGGGGGCACTGGTGGCACTGTATACCTGGGAGGTACTGAGAGGCACTGGGGTGTCCCTGATGACTTGGGGTCCCCCTGAGTGTATATTTGGGGTGTTTCCAGCCTGGTGTTCGTCCCTGATGATTTGGGGTGTCTGTGCCCCCAGCCTGGCGTTCAACCCCAACTGCTGGGGCACCAACCCCACCACACTGTGCTGGGGGTACTGGGGGGCACTGGGAGGCACTGGGGAGCACTGGGAGGCACTGGGGGTGTCCCTGATGATTTGGGGCCCCCTGAGTGTATTTTGGGGTGTTTCCCCCCCAGCCTGGCGTTCAGCCCTGACTGCTGGGGCTGTGCTGGTGTCATTGAGGGCACTGGGGGGGTCTCAGGCTGTCCCTGATGATTTGGGGTGTTTTTCCCCCCAGCCTGGCATTCAACCCCAACTGCTGGGGCTGTGCTGGGGGCACTGGTGGCACTGGGGAGCACTGGGAGGTACTGAGAGGCACTGGGGGTGTCCCTGATGATTTGGGGCCCCCTGAGTGTATTTTGGGGTGTTTCCCCCCCAGCCTGGCGTTCAGCCCCGACTGCTGGGGCACCGACCCCACCACACTGTGCTGGTGGCACTGGGGGGCACTGGGAAGGACTGGGGGTGTCCCTGATGATTTGGGTTCCCCCCGAGTGTATTTTGGGGTGTTTCCCCCCCAGCCTGGTGTTCAGCCCCGACTGCTGGGGCTGTGCTGGAGTCATTGAGGGCACTGGGAGGCACTGGTGGCACTGGTGGGATCTCAGGCTGTCCCTGATGATTTGGGGTGTCTGTGCCCCCAGCCTGGCGTTCAACCCTGACTGCTGGGGCACCGACCCCACCACACTGTGCTGGGGGTACTGGGGAGCACTGGGAGGCACTGGGGAGCACTGGGAGGCACTGGGAGGCACTGGGGGTGTCCCTGATGATTTGGGGCCCCCCCTGAGGATGTTTTGGGGTGTTTCCCCCCCAGCCTGGCGTTCAACCCCGACTGCTGGGGCTGTGCTGGGAGCACTGGGAGGCACTGGGGGCACTGGTGGCACTGGGGGGGTCTCAGGCTGTCTCTGATGATTTGGGCCCCCCCCCGAGTGTATTTTGGGGTGTTTTCCCCCCAGCCTGGCGTTCAGCCCCGACTGCTGGGGCTGTGCTGGGGCACTGACCCCACTGGGGGCACTGGGTGTGACTGGGGGTTTCCCTGATGATTTGGGGCCCCCCCGAGGGTGTTTTGGGGTGTTCCCCCCAGCCTGGTGTTCTGCCCCAACTGCTGGGGCTGTGCTGGAGTCATTGAGGGCACTGGTGGCACTGGTGGGATCTCAGGGTGTCCCTGAGTGTATTTTGGGGTGTTTCCCCCCCAGCCTGGCGTTCAGCCCCGACTCCTCGTTCCTCTGCGCCGCCAGCGACAAAGGCACCGGCCACGTCTTCGCCCTGCGCGACACCCGGCTCAACCGGAGATCCGCGTGAGGGGGGGCCAGGGGGGCACCTGTGGGGGATCCTAAACATGGGGGGCACCAAACATGGGGAGGGATCCCAAACATGGGGAGATCCCAAACATGGAGGAGATCCCAAACATGGGGGATCCCAAACATGGGGATCCCAAACACGGGGGGATCCCAAACATGGGGGATCCCAAACATGGGGGATCCCAAACATGAGGGATCCCAAACACGGGGGGATCCCAAACACGGGGAATCCCAAACGTGGGGGATCCCAAACACGGGGGATCCCGAACATGGGGGATCCCAAGCACGGGGGATCCCAAACACGTGGGGATCCCAAACACGGGGAGATCCCAAACACGGGGGAGATCCCAAACATGGGGGATCCTAAACACGGGGGGATCCTAAACATGGGGAGATCCCAAACATGGGGGATCCTAAACATGGGGGGATCCTAAACATGGGGAGATCCCAAACACGGGGGATCTCAAACATGGGGGATCCCAAACATGGGGGATCCCAAACATGGGGGAGATCCCAAACATGGGGATCCCAAACACGGGGGATCCCGAACATGGGGGGGCACCAAACATGGGGGATCCCAAACATGGGGGATCCTAAACACGGGGGGGATCCTAAACCTGGGGGATCCCAAACACGGGGAATCCTAAACATGGGGGATCCCAAACATGGGGGATCCCAAACATGGGGGATCCCAAACACGGGGGATCCTAAACATGGGGGATCCCAAACATGGGGGATCCCAAACATGGGGAGATCCCAAACATGGGGGGCAATCCCAAAAATGGGGGATCCCGAAATGGGGGGGCAATCCCAAACATGGGGGGGGCACCAATATGGAGAAGGGACCACAAAAATGGAGGACAAGACCCCAAAAATGGGGGGGGGCACCCCAATATGGGGAGGGACACCCTAAACATGGAGAAGGGGAGACCACAGAAATGGGGGGACCCCAACACAGGGAGGAAGACCCCAAAAATGGGGGAGGGAACAAACTCTCCCTACAACCCCCCTGACCCCCCCTGTGCCCCCCAGGCTGGCTCGGGTGGGGAAGGTGGGCCCCGTGCTGGGTCCCTACGTGGAGTCCCAGTGACCCCCTGAGACCCCCAGGACCCCCAGTGACCCTCCAGGACCCCCATAACCCCCACCTAACCCCGCTGTGCCCCCCAGGCTGGCTCGGGTGGGGAAGGTGGGCCCCGTGCTGGGTCCCTACGTGGAGTCCCAGTGGTCCCTGGCGAGTTTCACCGTCCCGGCCGAGGCCCCGGGGGTCTGCGCCTTTGGGAGGGGGGGGCGCAGCCCCAGCTCTGTCATCGGTGAGTGACCCCCCCAAACAGACCCCAAATAACCCCCCTGGGACCCCCCAAAACTCCCCAATGGGGGTCTGTGCCTTTGGGAGGGGGGGGCGCAGCCCCAGCTCCGTCATCGGTGAGTGACCCCCCCAAACAGACCCCAAATAACCCCCCTGGGACCCCCAAAACTCCCCAGTGGGGGTCTGCGCCTTTGGGAGGGGGTGGCGCGAGCCCCAGCTCTGTCATCGGTGAGTGACCCCCAATATAACCCCAAAATACCCCCTGGGACCCCCAAATATCCCCTGGGACCCCCAAACACCCACCGGGGGTCTGTGCCTCTGGGAGGGGGGGCACAGCCCCAGCTCCATCATTGGTGAGTGACCCCCCAAAATATCCCCTTGGGAACCCAAACACCCCCCTGGGAACCTAAAATAACCCCCAAAATACCCCCTGGGACCCCCAAAATACCCCCTGGACCCCAAAGAGCCCCCGGGTCTGCGCCTTGGGAGGGGGCGCAGCCCCAGCTCCATCATCAGTGGTGACCCCCCAAACAGACCCCAAATAACCCCCCTGGGACCCCCAAAATACCCTCAGAGATCCCCCCTGACACCCCCAACCCCCTTCAGGACCCCTAAACCCCCCATGATTCCCCCAAACACCCCCTGCAATTTCCCCCAAATCCCCTCTCAACTTCCCCCCGGACCCCCTATAACCCCTCCCATCCCCCTCAGGAGTCCCCTGACCCCCAAACCCTGCTCAGGACCCCTGAACTGCTCCTCTGACCCCCCAACCCCTGCTCCAGGGCCCCCAACTCTCCCCTGACCCCCAAATCCTGCCTCAGGACCCCCTAAACTCCCCCTAACCCCCAATCCCTGCTCAGAACCCCTCAAACCCCTGCTCAGGACCCCAAAACTCCCCCCGATCCCCCAAATCCTGCTCAGGACCCCCAAAATCCTGCTCAGGACCCCCAAAATCCTGCTCAGGCCCCCTAAACTCCCCCTGCCCCCGTCCCCAGCGGTGTGTGTGGACAGGACGTTCCATAAGTACGTGTTCAGCCCCGACGGCAACTGCAGCCGAGAGGCCTTCGACGTCTTCCTCGACATCTGCGACGACGACGACTTCTGACCCCCAAAAGCCCCCAAAACCACCCCCACCCCAGGGACACCCAAAAACCACCCCCACCCCGGGGACACCCCAAAAACCACCCCCAGCCCTGGGGACACCCCAAAAACCACCCCCACCCCCAGGGACACCCCAAAAACCACCCCCAAAAACCACCCCCAAAAGTGTCGCCTGTGGGTTTTTATTCCGTCCCGTTCTCGGCGTAAACAAAGGGGGTTTGAACAAAACCCTCGGAAAGGGGGGCACAAAATGGGGGACCCTCGAGGACCCCCCCGACCCTGGGGGAGTTGGAGTACAAAATGGGGGTCCCCTGAAACCGCCCCAGTGATTTGAGGGGGTTGGTACAAAATGAGGACCCCAAGGCCCCCCCGAGGTGATTTGAGGGGAGGGGCAGATACAAAACTGGGGTCTCTTGAAGCCCCTGGGAATTTGGGGGTGGGTACAAAACTGGGGTCCCCTTGGCCCCCTGGTGAATTGGGGGGATGGGCAGATACAAAATCAGGGCCCACTGAAGCCCCCAGGTGATTTGGGAGGGGGGTTGGTACAAAATGAGGTCCCCCTGAAGACCCCCCAGATGATTTGGGGGGGGGTTGGTACAAAATGAGGTCCCCCCCTGGTGATTTGGGGGGGTTGGTACAAAATGAGGTCCCCCTTGGCCCCCCCAGATGATTTTGGGGGGTTGGTACAAAATGAGGTCCCCCTTGGCCCCCCCAGGTGATTTGGGGGGGTTGGTACAAAATGAGGTCCCCCCCAGGTGATTTGGGGGGGGTTGGTACAAAATGAGGTCCCCTTGGGCCCCCCCAGATGATTTGGGGGGTTGTTCCCCCCCCCCTGTGCCCCCTCCCCCAGCCCTGGGTCCGGCCCAGCCTTTGGCCCAGGGGGGTTTTGGGGGTGCTGGTGATTTTGGGGGGGGGGATGGCACGAGTGTAGCCCTTTAAGAGTGGGGGGAGGGGCAGGGGTGGGGGAGGGGCAGGGGGTGTCAGAAGGAGGGTGTAGGGGGTCGGTGCCGAGGTGAGGCGGTAAATGAGGGTCTTGGCGGGGAGCAACACCTGGGGGGAGGGAGGGTTAGACCGGGGGCCCTCTCCCCAAAATCACCCCAGGGTGTCGTTCCCCCCCAATGATGGTTCACCCCACATTCCCCCAATTCCAAATGGTTCATCCCAACTTTACCACCCCCAAGCCCCAAATGGTTCTGTCCAGCACCCCTGACCCCCAGCCCCCCAAACTCATGGGGACATGTGCCCCCTTCCTCTGACCCCTGTAACCCCCTGACCCCCAAAACTCATGGGGTGGGATATGGGCCCCCCTCCTGACCCCCTGACCCCTGTGAGGCCCCCAGGACCCCCACCCCCCAGGACCCCCTACTCACGGGGTTCATGACGTACCCCCTGCAGGGTAGCACCAGGACCCCTGTGACCCCCTGACCCCTGTGACCCCCCCAGGACCCCCAGCCCCCTACTCACAG